AGCTAAAAAAGCCAATGGTGTCTTGGCCTGCATCAATAGGAGTCCAGTGTCTACATCCAGGGAAGTCCTGCTCCCCATGCCTTGGTTAGACCACACCTGGAATATTGTGTCCAATTCTGGGCACCACAATTGAAGGGAGATATTGACAAGCTGGAATGTGTCCAGAGGAGGGTGACTAAAATGATCAAGGGTCTGGAGAACAAGCCCTATGAGGAGCGGCTTAAGAGCTGGGCATGTTTAGCCTGAAGAAGAGAAGGCTGAGAGGAGACAGATGAGCCATGTATAAATATGTGAGGGGAAGTCCTAGGGAGGAGAGAGCATGTTTTATGTGAGGGGAAGTCCTAGGGAGGAGGGAGCAAGCTTCCTTTCTGCTGCCCTGGAGACTAGGATGCAATAGAGCAATGGCTTCAAACTACAAGAAAGGAGATTCCACATTAAGAACTTCCTGACTGTCAGAGCTGTTTAGCAGTGGAACCCTCTGCTATGTGGGTTCCACTGTGGTGGAACCCACGTAGAATGTGGTGGAGGCTCTTTCTTTGGAGACTTTTAAGCAGAGGCTGGATATCCATCTGTCGGGGGTGCTTTGAAGGCAATTTTCTTGCTTCTTGGCAGAATGGGGTTGGACTGGATGATGGCCCACCAGGTCTCTTCCAACTGTAGGATTCTAAGATACTACGATTCTATGATTCACCAAGACTCCAAGATCTTAAATGATGGTGCCGAGGCTGAGGTGCAAGATGGAGATGGTTTGGTCAATGATTTTCAGGCAGACAATGACAGAGAGGCCCCAGTGCAAAGGGCAGTTTCTCATGAGAATATCCCTACTGGGCCTCGCAATGATGGTTAACTCCCTCTCTCGGTGAGCTCTCATGCTCCATCCACAGCATTCCCTGCATCTACCAAGCGAAAAAGGAGATGAGATGAGTCTGACATGACGTGTTTTTCAGAAATCCATGCTTTTAGTAACCATAGCATTCCTTTCTAAGTGATTGCAGACTGCCTTGCTCAGCCCTGGATGGGTTTCCTGCATCTATGACAAGGGGTTGGACTAGATGGCCTTCTGGTGTCCCATCTAATCTTCTGTGATTCCAAACTAGGAGCCAAAGTGGCATCTCTCGAGCTCTAGCATTCCTCCCTTTTCCCGTCCTCTTCCGCCCCAAGAAACATCTCACACGTTGATGGCTTTGGACAGGGACATTCATTATTCAGAGCTGGTAGAAGGGAAGAGAGGGAAGGAAGGTAGATGATGGGTCAGGAGGAAGAGCAGGAGGGAGCCCCAAAGGATATCGGACATGGCATGGAGTGTCGCATTGCAGATGACTTGAAAGTCAAGGGGACGCCATCGGTTGAACTCATGCTCCTTGCATTTGTCTGGCCTATCTAGGTGTTGTCGTCACTCGCAGCACAAAGTTGTGATCCTTAAGTATGTGAGATGAAGGAGCAAAAGCTTACAGCAAGGATGAGGACCATGTAGCTCTTAGACAGCAAGTAAAACCATTGGATGCTAGAGTGGGAAGGGACCCCCAAAGGCCATCCAGTCCAGCCTAAAATCATCGGATCCTAGAGTGGGAAGGGACCCCCAAAGTCCATCCAGTCCAGCCTAAAACCATCAGATGCTGGAGTGGGAAGGGACCCCCAAAGGCCATCCAGTCCAGCCCCTTCGGCCATGCAGGAAGGCACAACGCAAGCCCTCCCAAGAAAAGATGGCCAGACAGAGAGGGGGGGGGGGGGGGGGGAGAGAAAGGGAAAGAGAGAGAGAGATTATGTGCTTCAAACATTTGCAAATACATTTGGGCTCATAAAGCAAAATCCCAAGACTATTTTGTGGTGAAATGTTTATTGTGCAAACCTCAAAGGCCCAAATGCCATGCAGAAAAGCAGGCAGGGAGAGAAGATGTTTACCTAAGAGTCACACATAGCATCGATGTATTGTTGTTTTTGTTGTTGTTCTTTTCAAGACAGATGTATGTGTGTGTACAGCTGTACGTAAGCAATGTGTCAAGATTAAAAGCCTCTACTCTGAGTTTGGATGAAAACTGAGCCAAAGGGTTTTCTTAATTTATTTATTTACAGTATTTGTATACTGCTTTTCTCACCCCGAGGGGGACTCAGAGAGCGGTTTAAACAGTGAGCAGTTCAAGGTCAGGCTGTGCAGTAAAGATTCTGCTGAAAACTGATAAGGACTCTGCTATGTTTGGGTTGAGTTTTCTAGTTTGTCCCTGAGACAATCAGTCTGGTGCACAGTATCTTTAGGGAGGGCGTGATTGTGAAGGAGAAAACTATAAATCACGTACCTATCCTGTGGTTTTCTGACATGTTTGGCATCACTTTAACTGACATGACTCCATGCTTGGGAATCCTGGTGTTACTGAAAAATTGACCCCCTCCTCCAATAATAATAACTATAACTATAACTATAACTATAACTATAACTATAACTATAACTATAACTATAACTATAACTATAACTAACTATAACTATAGCTATACACACACACACACACACACACATGTTTTTACAGATCTTAGCTGGGTTTCAGGCCTCAGCCCAGCCCCAAACATTCCTGGGAGGATTAATCTAATCATTTACCAAATTGAATAGAAAAACTGGGTGGGCATTGCTCCTCAGGCTAGAGACAATGACCATCCAAAGATGACAATGACCGCACACCACTTACAGAGCTTTCCTGTGACAAAACATTAAAAAATATCTTGTGTTTTGATTCGGGTTTATGCTTTATTATTAAACATATGTACACACAAAAATAGGGGTGCTACTATAGACAGATGGGAGATGCGCTTCAGTGAAATCTGTATTGCATTATACAGGGTTAGTCAAAATGAATAGGCCAATAAGAAAATTAATTTTAGACGAATGTATGTTTACTGTAACCAAACCACAGCTACGTAGCGACAGATAAACTATCAAAGTTTTTTTTGAGCAACACACATGTACGTTAATGCCGCTAGGCGTCGCTAGGGGTCGCTGTTTTCAAAATGGCAGATTCAAGCAAAGAGAAGGCGTTTTGTGTGATGACATTTGCTAAAACAATGTCAGTAATTACGGTCCAGCGAGAATTTCGAGCCAAGTATGGCAAGGAACCACCTCATCGACATTCCATTGCGAGGTGGGTAAAGCAATTTGAGGAGACGGGCTGCTTATGCAAGGGTAAAACCACAGGACGACCACGTGTCTCCGAAGACACAGCTGCATTCGATGCCATTACGTCGGATGTGCTGCAACGGATGTGGAATGAACTGGACTATCGCTTGGACATCTGCCGTGTCACACGGGGCGCCCATATCGAACATCTCTGAAGGTGAGACAAAACTTTGATAATTTATCTGTCGATACGTAGCTGTAGTTTGGTTACAATAAACATACATTCGTCTAAAATTAATTTTCCTATTGGCCTATTCATTTTGACTAACCCTGTATGTTTCCTATTCAGTGTGTATATCTGCAAAAGATTTGTTTTTTGTCTTGAAGCTGGCTCCTATGTAAACCCCATAATCCCATCCTGGACTATTTCAGACCATTTCTCAAGTCTTGCTCTTTTCTTCCTGGGAGGGTCTTCCAAATGACTCCAGCTTCAAATAGACAAATAGCAGCTCTCCTTTTTTCCCGCCAGAAGGGAGACTCCACCCACCTCTGACATCACAGGGAGTCCCCAACCAATGACTGCTAAGAACCTAGCTTGATCCTAGCCAATCAGGGGAGGGAGCAGGTCTTCTGAATGGCTGCCAAAGGGGACAAAATGTTTTGCACTGTATTATATGTTATTCCAGTTCTGTTGACAATTACACTGTTCTTACATCCAACTGGCCAGATGAATAAAAAGACTGAGCTACTGCCTTCAAACCCAGTCAAGTTTTTCCTGCCTATCAAAGTAACCCAGCTTGCTGGGTGATGAACCTACAGTGCTTCCTTGTGGCAGATAGCTGATTTGGGCAACACTGAGAGTAGTTTGGTGAAGTACCAGCACTTTGGGGCAGAGAAGACTCAATATGTGGCAAAACTACATCTCTCCTGATTCCATAGGATTGTGTCATGAATGACTTTTCAATAATTTTGAAGCATGGGTTCTTTTTATTGCAATTTCCAGTGTGAGAGGATATATCAGATTACAGAAAAACATTTAGACAAAGAATGACTTGGACATACAGACATACAGACTCTATGCAACTACACTGGATCCACAATTACATTGGTTAACAAACAAACAAAGGGGAATTACATTTTCACTCAACATTCACACACATGTACACGCGTTCATCCACATGCATCCAAAATATTACCATATCCTTTTCTCCCTCCTTGGAGAAGCACCTCTTAGGCCAGACTCTGCTTTCCTGCAGCCTGCCAACGTACAGTTCCAAACTTTCCATAACTTTATAACTTCAAAACTCCAAAATGTATCCTTTTCCTAGGTACAGTGCCAAGGACCAAATCTCTGTTTTCCATAAAACAAAACCTGACTCCCTGCACAAAATCCAAGACTCCAAAAGCGCACTTCTTCCTCTTCCCTTGAGAAAGACGGCCCAAAGTGACCAGAATCATGCTTTCCCAGAGCATATCTGACACTCTCCAAATACACCATCTCTTTTATTCCCATGGATCAGAGCATAGCGGGTGGAACAGACTCCTCAGGTCTGCCACACTTTGAGCATTCTTAGACTGAGTCTTTTATATGAATATTCTGCTGATGTAGTCCCAAAGTTGTAAATGAATGATAGACATCTTCCATGCTGGCTCCATCTCAGTTTCCTGGCCAGATGTTGACTCTTCTTGATTGGTGTTGATCTTATGTTGACTTCCTTCTTAACATAAGGAATGTTACAAACATTTCCTTAACTTGAAAGAACCATTGTCACAGCTCTTATCAATTCTCATTAGCAGGTTTTGATCACAGTTCCAGCAAGCAGGTAGTTAGTCATTGCAGGCCTTAATATTATATTGGTGTTTCCAAAATTATTAACTCCAACCACACACCCTTCCATTCATTCCCACACATCATATTACATTCATATTTGTCAAATCTGCACATTGAATTTCTTCTGACATTTGCACCATGGCAGTAAATATGAAGTCAAACCACGTTCATGCTATAATGAAGATACACTCTTTGCAGAGCAGGTGAAAGGCCACATAAAACTACAGCTCCCACAATCCTGTAGCATAGAGCCATGGTGGTTAAAATGCATTCATGCTGCATTGTGAGCCCACCCGCAGTGACAACCGGCACCAGATCCTGAATCTAATGCAAGAGAAATACTTATAATATGATTATATTGTCTTAGTTTTGTGTTGTTTTGCTTTTTCCAGGAGCAAAACAGGCCCCAGGTTGGCGGTCAGAGGAGTCCTGGGGACTCGAAGAGGATGGCCACAAGGAATAGGGCTCCCCAGAGAAGGAAGGGCGCCTGGGCATGTGCAGAGAGGTGGCTGAGGCCGGCACCTGTAGAGAGAGAAGCAGAGGCATTGGCAGAGAGAAGTTGTGCAGGTACAGCTGTACCAGGAGCTCCAATTTTGTTTGCTTTGCATTTAATGTTTGTTGTAGTCCTAAGTTTCAGGGACTCTGCAGATAGCTGGCTTCTTTTGGCTGCAATCATAGGCCAAGCCACCTGTCAATTATAGTTAGGTTCCCTGGTCCCACCCCCTTTTGGGTTTTTGGAGGGAATAGGAGCCATTTTGAGTTCAGTCCACACAGAGCAGCTTTCCATGCAGGACATAATACCAAGAGCTCCTGTAGAAAGCTTCGTCTTCTACGGCTTGGCCGGGGAGATATACAGCCCACAGCTTGGCCGAGGATCATACAGCCTTACAGCTCCTTTGCTGAAGGACTTCAGCCAGCCATCACTGAAACGTGAACTCCTTCTTTTCCCCTGGAAGTCTACAAATCTCTGCTTGGTAAGGGTCGCTCATGGAAGCCAGACGCAGTTGGTACCGGGTGCAGGGGCTCCACGCCAACAGAGGCAAAAACAGACTGCCCAGATTAGAAGTTAAGGATTTCCCCATTAGTTACAGTTAAGAAGATAGTGCCTGTTCCCTGTGGACAAGATTGAGAGAGAGCCAATAGACTGTTAAGAATGCTTTAAAGTACCTGTTTGTTTTCATCAATAAAGAACTTTGTTGAACCTTTAAGCAATCTAAAGACTCTGTTTGGGGGAATCCAAGGGCCTTTAATCTGAGGCAGCCCGGGCGTCCCGTTGGGCACACAGAATTTATGTCCTGTCTACAGTCTGATGCACAGGCCCAGCGTGCGACAGCACAGAAGTGCTTCTCAAATATGAAAGGGGAACCTCCATTGTTGTCAGTCACTCACCTGAACTGAAGTTGCACCTTTGCGTTTTGCACCTTTTCTCTGCAAAGGAGGGAAAAAAGAAAGCAAGTGATCATAAATAGAGCATGCATTTAAAAAAAGGATGTCACTCTCTGAGGATAAAATCAGAGCTTGAAATTAGGCCTGGTTCATTAAAAAATGGATCAAAACTCATTTAGGATCTAGAGGGCGCTGGTGGTTCGATTCTAAAGTCACTTCCGAATTTTTCCGAAAAAAGTCAGAACTTTCCGAAACTTCCAAAACTTCCGAATTGATTCGTTAATGGCAAACGTGATTGTGCGATACGTGGAAAACAGCACTGGCACTGGGGAAAATCCAGGGTGTTCTCCCTCCCTCATTTTTACACCAATCTTGATGAAACTTGAAATACTGCTACAGCACACCCTCCTCTCTTAACATACCAAATTTCAACAAATTCAGACGATCCACCAATGTTAAAGAATTTTTGAAAACATTTTTAGAAATAATTTATTAAAGTAAAAGTAAAAGAGTGAATGAATTCCATGAACTCCATGAATTTTTACGGAAATGACAAAAGGTTATAGGAGACCACTCCTCCCAACTTTCAGAACACATCCATACTGTTGGAAGTTACTGTTTGTGCAGCAGAGGCCCAGGAAGCTTGGGAAACGTAGCGTCAAGTCCCCAAAACACACCCCAGGAAAAAGGGAGAGACCCCAATAAAAATAGCAAAGCTTTAGTGGTGGGCAAGAAAGAAGTTTCCAGAAATGAATATTTATTTCACCCTCTCCTCGCCTCCCAAACAAACTTTTCCTTCTTTTTCTCTCTTCTGTGGCTCCAAACCCTTCCTCTCTCAAAATCTTCCCTTCTGCTTTGCCTCCATTTTCCAAAACGCCTTTCCTCTGGCTCCAAACACTTTCTTCCACTCCACACACAACAGCAAGTTGCATTAAAAACGCTTCATCATAGTTCGGACTCACTTCCGCATCCTTGAAATCAATCACGCAAAGCGAGTCGAAACTAAAGGGGACTACAGCCTCATGGAAATGTGGCGCAAGTCCATTCGGAAGGCAAAAACATCCGATTTTTCCCCAAATTACGCCACATCCGAGTGAACCTATTCAACCCTACTGGGAATGATTACTTTGGAGACTTATCTTCTTGCCTAATTGGATTTGCCTATTTCTTTTAAGTGCTTTTTTACTTTGCTGGTTTTTTTTAATTATCTTCAATAAAAGGTTTGTTTTCCAATCAGTGGTGTGGTGTTTACAGTCAGCGGGCTTTTCCTGTCCTGGAGTGCAACACTTCCCTACTTTGCAGATTTTCACTTTTTGCGGGTGGTCCTGGAACGTAACACACATAAGTGAGGGAACACTGTATTATGGTGGTTGTTGTTGCTGTTATTGTTATTCGTGCTACACATCAGTTTATTTGTTATTGTTCCCCACCTTAATCTGCAGGAGAAGTGGGTAGGAAATAATCATAATCATAATCCCATAGTAGCTATGGCCTTGAATAGTTTGCATCTCCATGGATCGCAGCTGGGCAGCTACAAGAACACAGCCATATAACCTAGAATATCATTGTTGTTGTTGTTCTTGTTGTTGTTTGTGCTACACATTAGGTTATTTATTGTTCCTCACCTTAATCCACAGGAGAAGTGGGTAGGAAATAATCATAATCATAATCCCATAGTAGCTAGCTATGGCCTTGAATAGTTTGCATCTCCATGGATCGCAGCTGGGCAGCTACAAGAACACAGCCATATAACCTAGAATATCATTGTTGTTGTTGTTCTTGTTGTTGTTCGTGCTACACATTAGGTTATTTATTGTTCCTCACCTTAATCTACAGGAGAAGTGACTAGGAAATAATCATAATCCCATAGTAGCTATGGACTTGAATAGTCTGCATCTCCATGGATTGCAGCTGGGCAGCTACACAGCCATATAACCTAGAATATCAAGTCACATAATCCAGAATATCTGTTTTGAACTGGATTATCTGAGTCCACACTGCCATATAACCCAGTTCAATGTGGATTTTACACACTGTGTAAGTGGTGTTAGTCACGTAAACTAGTGTGACCAGTAAATGCTTACGGAATGGGTTGGGTGGCCTCATTAAAGAGACCTGCCAATATCTAATAAGATAATCTCTAACCAAATGACAATGAAATGTTGTACGCATGCCAACTATATAACCCTCTGTAATCTAATCTGGGGATGCTGAAGACTGAATGGAGTGATCCTGCTTGAAGCCCAGCTGAATAAAATCCTATGGCCAGAAGTACCACGGCCACATGTGGCTTGGGAACCCCTTTTCCTACCTTTGACGAAGACGCAGTTGTGGAGACTGTGGTCTTCAAGGGAGAGCAGGTGGATGAAGGTGGTCTCGGGGGTCTTGGTGAAGTTGGCCACCTTGAACTTCTCAAAGGGCGGGATGAGGACCTCCTCTTCTCCGGGGAAGAAAGAGAAGTTCTGGACGTTGACCCCGAAGCAGGTCTGGATGGTGAAGAAGGTGTCCGTCCCGAACTGCTTGGCGCTCTCGTTCTTGAGCGAAGAGGAAGCAAAGTGGCCAAAGCGCACCGGACGGAGCCGCTCAGAGACAAAGCGGACATTGCGGACCCCACGGTAGACCTTCTGGCAACGGGGCTGGGATGTGACCCCCAAGGCCTGTAGGGCTCTGGTCAAGAGGAAATGGAAGGTCTTGAAGTGGAAGCCCTGGAGATAGGCTTCCCTAGTCCGGCCGGCCTCCCTGACGGCTGCGTTGAAGTCCCGGTGGAAACGTCCTTGTGCTGTGTAGGCCATGACCGCCATGGCATACTCTGGTCTCAGTCCTTGGGGCAGGTTTGGGGTGGACATTCGCCGCTCTGTCCACCTGGAAGCTGCCTCCGTCCAGGCCTCGGCATACAACCGGTTGGCAGCAAACTCAGTTCGGTTGAGGGCCTCCAGCTCGGCCTCCATCTGCTCCCCACAACCTTTGTATTGGTCATCGAAGGAAGTGGATGCCAGGTCCAGAGGGGACTCTTTGGCGGGGAAGAGGTCACGCCGGTGGATGGGGAAGCCAGAGACCTGCGACCAAAGATATCATCTCCTTTACACCAGGCATGGGCCAACATCTGCCCTCCAGGTGTTTTGGATTTCCAAACACCTGAAGGGAGGGTTGAAGTTTGCCCATGCCTGGCTTACATCTAACATATACACATATAGGTCAATGTATCTATGTATGTTGGTTGGTTCCTCAAAGGCTCCTCCATGACGTGACGGATCTGGACCACACTTGGCACACAGACCCTCCATTAGCCAACTTAAATCCAGTGTGAGGTTTCAAATAGCACTCCACCACTGTTTTCAGGTGAGAGCCCCCAAAAGTGAAACATGGCCGTATATAGCTAGAAAGGATCAGCTAGTAGCCTCTAGGTATGTATGGATGAAGTGCTGAGATACAACCACAAGAGGATGGTGTATAGATAGAAAGGATCAGCTTCTGGGCACTAGCCTTGTATGTATGAGGTTTGTATATATGCAGTGCTCAGGTGCAATCACACAAAGGCAGTATATAGATGGAAAGGATTAGTCACCGGTCTCAAGGTATGTAGGCAGCACTCAGGCACCACCACAAGAGGACAGTAAGTAGATAAAAAGGATTAGCTACTGGCCTATAGATATGCATGCATCCAGTACTCAGAGGCAACCGCAAGAGGGCAGTATATAGATAGAAAGGATTAGCTGATGGCCTCTAGGTATGTATGGATGCAATAAGGTGCAACTACAAGAGGGCAGTATATAGATAGAAAGGATTAACTGCTGGCCTCTAGGTATGTATGGATACAATACTCAGGTGCACCTACAAGAGGGCAGTATATAGATAGAAAGGATTGGCTGCTGGCCTCTAGGTATGTATGGATGCAACACTGAGGTGCAACTACAAGAGGGCAGTATATAGATAGAAAGGATTAGCTGCTGGCCTCTAGGTATGTATGGATGCAACACTGAGGTGCAACTACAAGAGGGTAGTATATAGATAGAAAGGATTAGCTGCAAATCTCTAGGTATGTATGGATGCAATACTCAGGTGCAACTACAAGAGGGCAGTATATAGATAGAAAGGATTAGCTGCAAATCTCTAGGTATCTATGGATGCAATGTTGAGATACAACCACAAGAGGGCAATATGTAGTTAGAAAGGATTAGCTGCTGGGCTCTAGATATATATGTATGCAGCACTCAGATTGAACCACAAGGGGTCAGACTATAGATAGAAAGGATTCAATGTGATTTAATGAAGACGTATATTTTGAAAATGTGTGTGTGTGTGTGTGCCTTGGCAGTTGAAGTGGCACCAATCACTATTTGTTCCACAGTGTAGATGCAACCTGGGAGAACAGGGTTTAGAGTTGTCCTTTAGTAACAAAAGCTCACTAGCCAGCCTTGGACAAGTCATTTATGCTGATGCTAAGGGGGCCAGACCATTGTAATGTACGCAATGCTTGGGAAAGTTACATTTTGGCCTACTCTGCTCTACTTCTCACCCTTTGCAACCCCTTCGTACCTGGATGTCTCCTGAGAAGATCCACATCAGATGCATCGCCAGCAACATCTGCAAAACAGTCCTCTCCATTCTCTGCACCTTTACACAGAAAGAAAAATGAGGTTATATATTTTTCTTGATCATAATGCAACCTTACAGCAATCTGTACCAGAACAAACTTCCGGGCTATCTTCAAGTGCAGCCCCATGTAGAGCGCATTGCAATAGTCCAGTCTGGATGTAACCAAGGCGTGGACCACCCTGGCCAAGTAAGACTTCACGAGATATGGTCACAGCTGGCGCACAAGTTTGAGTTGTGCCACTGCTGACACCTGAGCATCAAGCGACAGCGTTGAGTCCAGGAGGACTCCCAAGCTACGAACCTGCACCTTCAGGGGGAGTGTAACCCCACTGAGCACAGGTTGCCACCCAATACCCCGGTCGGACCCACGACTAACCAGGAGGACCTCTGTCTTGTCTGGATTAAGCTTCAACCTGTTAACCCTCATCCAGTTCATCACAGCTGTCAGACACTGGTTCAAGTTCTGGGAGGCTTCCTTGGAATTCGGTGGAAATGAGTAGTAGAGTTGGGTGTCATCTGCGTACAGATGGCACCCAACTCCAAAACTCTGGATAACCTCACCCAGCAGTTTCATGTAGATATTGAAAAGCATGGGGGATAGAATGGAACCTTGTGGGACACCACAGGTCAAAGGCCACAGGTCCAAGCAGGTATCCCCCAGCTTCACCAACTGGGAGCGACCCTCCAGGAAGGAGCAATGCCCCCAAGACCCATTCTGGAGAGCCGCCCCAGAAGGATACCATGGTCGATGGTATCGAAAGCTGCTGAGATATCCAGGAGAACCAACAGCGACACACTCCCCCTATCAAGCTCTCTTCAGAGGTCATCCACCAAGGCGACCAAAGCCGTCTCAGTACCATGGCCATGTCTAAAACCAGACTGTGATGGATCTAGATAGTCGGTGTCATCCAGGAATCCCTGGAGTTGGGAGGCAACCACCCGCTCTAGAACCTTGCCCAAGAAATGGAGGTTAGAAACTGACCGGTAGTTATTTAGGACCGAGGAATCTAGAGATGTCTTTTTGAGTCTGTATCTGTTGTGTGTCCATGGCATTGAACGTTAGCCATGTATGTATCCATTGTGATCCGCCCTGAGTCCCCCGCGGGGTGAGAAGGGCGGAATATAAATACTGTAAATAAATACCGTATATTCCGGCATATAAGACGACTGCGTGTATAAGACGACCCCCAACTTTTCCAGTTAAAATATAGAGTTAAGACGACTCCCATGCATAAGACTACACCTGCGTATAAGACGACCCCTGACTTTTGAAAAGATTTTCTTGGGTGAAAAAGTAGTCTTATACGCCAGAATATACTGTAAATAAACAATAAAGGGCCAGGCTTTAGCACAGCTGGTTAATTGCCAGCAACAATGGATCACACCAGTTGAAAGGCTGGCAGTTCGAAGCTTGGGTCAGGATGAGCACCCAACCTTCAGCTCAGTTCACTGTCCACCTAAGCAGTTCAAAAACAATTGTGAGCTATGAGTAGAGAAATTAGGCACCGCTTAGGGAGGGAGGCAAAGAAAGAGAGGAAGTCTGTGATAAAGGTTCTTCACCATAGAGGATATAGTGACAAAGATCACAGACAAAACTTCAGCTGAAGTTTTGCCTACTGCAGTTGTGCTGGTACAGCTGTACCAGGAGCTCCAACTTTATTTTCTTTCTGTTATTTGTTTGCAGTCATAGGGCAGGCCTCCTGTCCATCATAATTAAGCTTTGGTTCCACCCCTTGTTCAGGCTTCTGGGAGGGAAAGGAGCAATTTTTGGGCAGTCTCACACAAGGAATCTAAACTATAGGATGTAGACCAGCTCGTCCCATAGAAAAACTTCTTTCCTCAAGAACATCCGGGGAAACAGAAACAGAAATTCCAGGGAAAAGGTCCCAAGGCTCTGGCTGAGAGCTCACAGCCTCTCAGCCTCACAGCAATCAGAGGGAAAACAGCCCTGAAGTTCTCAAAGATTTCTCTAAGGGAGGACAGCACTACAGATCCACGGAACTCCATCTGAAATATCTACAAGCCTTGGCTGGTAGTTCTACTTGATACCCAGACGCATTTGGAATCGGTAGTAGGACCCACACCGATGAGGCATAGATAGTAAACGGCCTGGGAGAGGTTAAAAAGGGTTTTTCCTACAGAGAAGGTTCAGTTAATTAAAGTCAGGTACCAGTCCATTGAGGACTAGACTAAGAAAGCCTTGAAGTGTCATTTGAACCATTGAAGATTTGTTGTTTGTTCCATAATAAAGACTTTGTTGTACCATTAAATACTCTAAAGACCATCACTGCAGAAAAATCCCTGAGAACCTCTCTTTGAGGCGCCCCTGGCTTCCCGCTGGGCTTAAAGTATACGTCTTATAGAAAAGACAGCTGTTACAGGCCCAGCGTGCGACAGAACAGCAGTTGTCTGCAGTTAATTGGTATATCTGTTAGCATTTGCCAAGACCAACATTCTTGTGAAGGAATGCGCGGAGAATAGGAAAGCATGGCCCTCCAGGCTGCGATTGGACTGCAAATCCCATCATACACAATACATCATACACAAACTGGTTTGGGTTCTAGGGAATCTATATCTATAAAGTGCTACCAGTGTACACAAGAAGCGGAAAAAGGGAGAAATCACCAAAGAAGAGTAGAGGTCATTATACAAGCACACAATCTAAAATACATGTATACATTGAGACGCCCTTGCACATGGATCCAACGCGGTCTATCAGAAATGCTGACCAGGGCTACTCTTCTGTAACTCGCCTCAAACCATGAGGAGAGCCGGGTAAGAAATAAATTGTTGTTGTTGTTGTTGTTGTTGTTGTTGTTGTTGTTGTTGTCTTGGAACCTGGCTGCCCTGAAATGGAAGGTGAGCCCCTTACCTGCTTTGGGGAGGGAGAGACGGTCACTTCGGGGTCACTTTGGAATTTGCTTCACTTCCTCCGGCCGCCTCTCTCGGTCGCTGGACGTTGTTGTTGTTGTTGACGCGACAGGTGTTGTCCCAACTGGAGGGGCTTTTTATGGGAAGTCCCCGCCTCGCTATGGGGCTATTTATAGCCGGTGGCTCTGGGAGGATCACAAGTCCCTGAAGGATGTGGCTGGCAAAGGGCCGGGGCCAAAGACGCTCTGCGTGCTGCAGGCCTCTGCTGGCGTTGGCTGGGGATACTGGGAGTTGCAGTCCGAAAAAAGGCTACTTTTCCCAAGATACATCCAAATTTGAATGCTGGTGTGCATTCTGAACTCTACCAACCAAACTTCCCACGCAGAACTCCACGACCAACAGAAAATACTGGAAGGGTTTGGCGGACATTGACCTTGAGTTTGGGAGTTGTAGTTCACCTTCATCCAGAGAGCACTGTGGACTCAAACAATGATGGATCTGGACCAAACTTGGCACAAATACTCAATATGCCCAAATGTGAACACTGGTGGAGTTTGAGGGAAATAGACTTGACATTGGGAGTTGTAGTTCTGGGATTTATAGTTTAGCTACAATCAAAGAGCATTCTGAACTCCGCCAACCAAACTTCCCATGCAGAACTCCATGACCAACAGAAAATACAGGAAGGGTTTGGCAGACATTGACCTTGAGTTTGGGAATTGTAGTTCACCTTCATCCAGAGAGCACTGTGGACTCAAACAATGATGGATCTGGACCAAACTTGGTAGGAATACTCAATATGCCCAAATGTGAACACTGGTGGAGTTTAGGGAAAATAGACCTTGACATTTGGGAGTGGTAGTTGCTGGGATTTATAGTTCACCTACAATCAAAGAGCATTCTGAATTCCACCAACCAAACTTCCCACGCAGAACTCCATGACCAACAGAAAATACTGGGAGGGTTTGGCGGACGTTGACCTTGAGTTTGGGAGTTGTAGTTCACCTACATCCAGAGAGTGCTGTGGACTCAAACAATGATGGATCTGGACCAAACTTGGTATGAATACTCAATATGCCCAAATGTGAACACTGGTGGAGTTTGTGGGAAATAGACCTTGATATTTGGGAGTTGTAGTTGCTGGGATTTATAGTTCACCTACAATCAAAGAGCACTCTGAAACCCACCAGTGATAGAATTGGGCCAAACTTCCCACACAGAACCCACACGACCAACAGAAAATACTGTGTTTTCTGGTGGTCTTTGGCGACCCCTCTGACACCCTGTTGCAACCCTGTTGGGGGTCCCGAATCCCAAATTGAGAAATACTGCTATAAGGGATAAAAGGCATATTGCCATCTACTACCCTCCTGTTGTTTGCAGTCAAATCATTAAAAAAAAGGCACAAGAATGTGTAATATTAATAATATATTTATTCTATTAAGGTTCATGTGCATTTACTTATGTAAGGTAGTAATACAATATTAGAAAATATTGTTATTAGTCAAATAACAAACAGAAAAGATACAGAAAAAAGACACATCAGCCAAAAGAATTCAGGACTTATAGATACTCTGGAGTAGGTTTCTCCCCCCAGAATTATTATTATTATTACTATTATTATTATTAATTCCAGAGAAGGGAGGCCAAAATGGACAACGGCCTGGGAAAAGCCACGAATCTTTATGAGGATGGCCATCTATCAGGAGGGATCGTATTGTGCCTTCCTGCCTGGCAGAAGGCGGTTGGATGGGATGGCCTTTGGATACCCCCTTCCAACTCTAGAAAGTCTGGTAAAGTCTCCATCCCAACAGATGGCTGGATGGCCATCTGTTGGGAGGGAACGGATTGTGTCTTCCTGCCTTAGCAAAATGGGTCAGGCTGGATGGCCTTTGGAGACCCCCTCCCAACTCTAGAGAGTCTGATGGAGTCTCCTTCCTTCCCTGGAGGCTTCTAAGCAGAGGCTGGAAGGCCATCTGTCGGGAAGGATCGGATGGTGCCTTACTTTCTAGAAGAAGGGGTCAAACTAGGTGGTCTTTGGAGATCCCTTCCAATGCTTCCTAGGAGTCCAATCGAGTCTCTTTCTCTGGAGGTTTTAAAGCAGAGGCTGGATGGCCATCTGTCAGGAGGGATTGGGTGGTGCCTTACTTTGTAGCAGAAGGGGTCAGGACGGATGATCTTTGAGGATCCCTTCCAATGCTTCCTAGGAGTCCAATCAAGTCTCTTTCTCTGGATGTTTTAAAGCAGAGGCTGGATGGCCATCTGTCAGGAGGGATTGGGTGGTGCCTTACTTTGTAGCAGAAGAGGTCAGGGCGGATGATCTTTGGAGACCCCCTTCCAATGCTTCCTAGGAGTCCGATCAAATCTCTTCCTCTGGAGGTTTTAAAGCAAAGGCTGGATGGCCATCTGTCGGGAGGGATCGGATGGTGCCTTCCTGCCTAGTAGAAGGGTCAGACTGTATGATCTTTGGAGACCCCCTTCCAATGCTTCCTGGGAGTCCAATAGAGTTTGGAGGGTTTTAAGCAGAGGCTGGATGGCCATTTGTTAGGAGCGATTGAATTGTCCCTTCCTTTCTAGCAGAAGGGGAGGGGTGGACTAGATGGTCTTTGGAGACTCCTTTCCAACTCTAAAGGGATATATTTCTTGGGACACTGATGGAATCTTCTTCTCTGGAGGTTTTTAAGCAGACACTAGATGGCCATCTGTCGGGAGGGATTGGATGATGCCTTACTTTCTATCAGAAGAGGGGGTCAGACTGGACGGTCTTTGGAGACCCCCTTTCAATGCTTCCTGGGAGTCTGGTAGTCTCCTTCTCTGGATGTTTTTAAGCAGAAGCTGGATGGTCATCTGTTGGGAGGGATGAAGGGGTCAGACTGGATGGCCTTTGGGTGACCCTTCCAACTCTAGGATTCTATGGGACTCTAGTCTCAACACCTTTCCGTTTCATAGACACTTTATTGACCACTTTGGGGGACATCCGGCTCTTCCGCCGGGACCTCCTCTTTTGGGGGTCCCTCCTCTTCAGTCTCCCCTCCTTTGGCGCTTTCTGGGGGGTCCGCTCCCCCTTTGGGTAGGCTCTCCTCCTCCTGGTGGACCACCACGGCTTCCTCGGGAGAGGCCTGGCCGGAGCTGCCTGGGTCATGGGAGTCGTAGTTCTGGAAGCTGTTGCGCACCTTCATGATGTACCTGCGCAGGACGCTAGCCCCGTCCAAAGGGTTGGTGGCCACGGAACTGGTGGCCACCGAGCGCCGGAGCTGCTTCACCTCTGAATGCAGGCGCTGCACCGACTTGTTCAGCTCCGTCAGGCGGTTGCCTAGGTCTGCGGCCAAAAAGACATAGGCATCATCATCATCACCACCATCAWCATTATCACTATCTTGCTTTTATGCGTTTTGGGCACCTGCATTATGTGGTCAATGTAGACCAAGCACCTTGTAGACCAAGCACCTTGTAGACCAAGGTGTTTTGGACTTCAACTCCCACAATTCCTAACAGCCAGTAGGCTGTTAGGAATGGTGGGAGTTGAAGTCGAAAACACCTGGAGGGAGGGCCCAAGTTGGCTGTTAGGAATGGTGGGAGTTGAAGTCCAAAACACCTGGAGGGAGGGCCCAAGTTGGCTGTTAGGAATGGTGGGAGTTGAAGTCCAAAACACCTGGAGGGAGGGGCCAAGTTGGCTGTTAGGAATGGTGGGAGTTGAAGTCCAAAACACCTGGAGGGAGGGGCCAAGTTGCCCCGTGCCTGGTGTAAACTCATATGATGCTCTTTGCACACATCTGTACACATGTGTACACATGTGCACACGGTCAGTACACATCTTGATATAGTAGTGTAGATCCAGCCTTTTAAGAGAACTTATATATATATTAAAAAAGGTAAACAACATCTGTCCTGGGAATGAGGAAGCTCCAGCAAGTCTGAGCTGAAGGTCAGAGGTCATCTAAACAACCAAGGTGTTGCAACTCAGAGTAAGCTTCACCTTGCTTCCAAACACCACCATACAAGAGCTGTAGTTTTATAGTTTATCGAGGAAAAAATCCAAGTCAAAATAAAGAGTAAGCATTGCAAAGTTCCAAAGACTAAGGTTTAATGCAGAATATAGTTCCAAAGATCTTCAGGTAAAAGCAAGAGACACAATCTTATTGGCAAAGTTCAAACCAGAGTCCCAGGTACAACCAATGAAACAATTGCCCCATGAATTACAATGCAAGAAATCCCAAGCGTATTGCTTTCCAGGCTAAGGTTATTCCATGAAGCTTTCAGGCTAATAAGCTACGTTGAACTGACTGTTTGCCTTGGTTTGCAAGAAGCCTAAATACCTTTCTAACATGAAAACATTACATGAAAGCATTGCGATGACCTTTCCTCGAGCTGGCTTCCCATCTGCCGACCAGGCGAGAACTCCGCCTGACCCACAAATCAAGATGAGCTTGCCGGGTCAGGTCACTATCAAGGCTTTCAGCGTGGGAAGGAGGCAAATGCCTCCCCACCTGTTCGCTATCTCCTTAGTTAAAATTCTTTTCTCCTGAGAACCGCTGTGTTGATCTTGACTCTGCACTGTCTGACTCTGCACTGTCTGTGGGAGCCGCAGGCCCAGAGATCTGAGGCACAGAAAAAGAGCCAGGAATCTGAATCCCATCATCCTCATCATCACAGAACATCTCAGCCACAACACAAGCATAACAGCAACAACAACAAGTCTCTACATAAGGAGACACTTTTTCTTTTCGAATGTGTGCCAGATTTGTGAGGGATGCAAAATTTTGAATACTCACTTCCTTCCTTCCAAGAAGCCTGAATGAAGAAGGATGGTGAGTATGGACGTTGAATGTATGTGGAGTGAATGCTGAGTATAATATGTGATGTTCCCTCTTTTGTTTGTGTAACCATATATGGAATCACTGAGTTGGAAGAGACCTTGTGGGCCATCCAGTCCAACCCCCTGCCAAGAAGCAGGAAAATCATATTCAAGCTTGCTGATGCAACAGGCAAGGGTTTTTCCCACCCTGGACATTATTCCACAGGTATATATCTACACTCCACTTGCTACCTCTTTTGCTACCTTTTTGCTGATATCTTCACTGATTGACTTTT